GAATTGAAACTCAGGACCTCTGAAACATTTCATAAAAGTAACAGGATCATTGGCAAAAACTGCCAAACTTTTTCAGAAATCTGAATGTTTACCAAAGGCTTACAACAATACAAGGCATGACAATTTAAGAAAATGGCTGAAGCACAGAAAAAACATAGGCTGTGGCATTTTCACTTGCCCTAATCCCGTTCAAATTCCACCAGGTCCTCAGGCCTTGAAAACCAGAACCTCACAATAACAGCAGATGTGAAAAACTAGCAACTCACAATCACAGTGACTGTGGAGACCAGCACTTCACAGTCACCGTGGATACAGAGACCAGCACATCACAATCACAGTGGATGTGGAAACCAGCAGCTCACAGATACAGTGGATGTGGAGACCAGCACCTCAAGTCACAGTGGATGTGGAGAACAGCATTGCATGGTCATAGTCATTGTGGTGACCAGTACCTCATTATCACAGTTCATGGATCAGGAAGCTTAATATTGTTAAAGTGGCAAGACCCCCCCCCCAATTCTTCTACAGATTCATCACAATCTCTATCAAAATTGCAGTTGGCTTTTTTGCAGAAGTAATTAAGCTGACTCTTATGATAAGATATATATGGAACTGCAAGGGGCCCAGAATAGCCAAGGAAGCACAGGAAAAACATAGGTTTTGAAAAGGAATAGAGGACTCATACTTCCTGATTTCAAAACTGAGTACAAAGTTACAGAAATCAAAACAGTGTAGTAGTATCATAAGGAGACACATATAAATCAATGGAGCAGAATTGAGAGTCCAGAAATATAGTTATATTTATGATCAGATGCTTGCAAAAAGGAAAGAAAGACAATTTAATGGAGAAAGTGTGAAATTTTCAATAAACAGTTCTAGGACAACTGGATAGTCAAATGCAAAAGAATGATATTGGACTCTTATCTTTAGTCATAAATAAAAAAGTAATTAAAATTGAATTACAGACCTAAGCACAAGAACTAAAAATACAAAACTCGAAGAAAGCATAACCTTGGGTTAGGCAATGGTTTCTTAGAAACAATACTAAAACAACACACATGAAAAAAAACAAAACAGGTAAGATGGACTTCAACAAAATTTAAAACTTTTGTGCCTCAAAGGACAGCACCAAGAAAATGAAAAGAGGCCAGGCGTGGTAGCTCGTACACACTTATAATTCCAGCACTTTGGAAGGCCAAGGCAAGAGGATTGCTTGAGCCCGGGAGTTTGGGACTAGCCTGGGCAATATAACAAGAACTTATCTCTACAAAAATTAAGAAATTAGCTAGGTATGGTGGTACACGCCTGTAGTCCCAGGTACTTGGGAAGCTGAGATGGAAGGACTGCCTGAGCCCAGAAGGTAGAGGCTGTCACTGACCTCCAGCCTGAGTGACAGAGTGAGACTGACTGGAAAAAAAAAGGTGAAAAGACAAATCACAAAATGAGAGAAACATTTGCAGAGCATAAATATAAGAGGTTTGTATACAGAATATATATATAAAGAACCCGTACAACTCTACAATAAACAACATAACCCAATTTATATCAAAATAGGAAAAGCACTTGAACAGACATTTTTTTCAGAGATGACATACAAATGGCCCATAAGCACATGACAAGATGTTCAGCATCACTAGTCACCAGAGAATGCAAATCAAAACCACACTGAGATTCAACTTCACACCACTAGAATGACTGGAAGAAAAAGGAGAAACAATGACAAGTGTTGCCAAGGACATGGAGAACCTGAAATTCATACTTTGCTGGTAGAATTGTCAAATGGCGCAGTCACTTTGAAAAATAATATGGCTGTTTTCCAAACATATATATCTGGGGTATATTATATATACTCCTAAGTATATATTCAAGAGCAATGAAAATATATGTCCATACAAGTTTATACACAAATGTTCACAAAGAGTATAAACAACCCAAAGGTCCATCAGCTGATGAATAAAACGTAGCACATCTATTCAATGGAATATGAGGGAATGAAACTTTCATGTTAACTGAAAAAAGCAGTCACAAAAGACCACATGTTATTTGATTCCATTACATAAAAGTGCCCAGAATAGGCCAATCTATCGACAGAAAATAACTTAGTGGTTGCCAGTGGCTGGGGGAGGTCAGAATGAGGATTTACTGCTTATGGGTGTGGGGTTTCTCTTTGGGGTGATAAGTGTCCTGGAACTAGTGGTGATGGTTGCACAACTCTGAATATAGTAAAAGCCAGTTAGTTGTACACTTTAAAAGGTTGAATTTTATTGTATGTGGATTATATCTCAAAGCTGTTAAGGAAAAAAAAAAAACAACTTTCTAATAGATTCCTAAATCCCCGCGTGATCTTGCCCTACCTTTTCTCTGCTCTGTGTCAAATGTATTGACAGATACACATCGTGGGCCTACCGTGGGCCACGCAGTTTTAGAACTGACAATAGTCCCTTTCATGGAGATTCTATTCTAGCAGGGAGCTGGAGCATAAATGACAGAGACAGTAAACGACTTATGTTAGAAGGTGATAAGTGACACAGACAAAATACCAAGTATGAGGGACTGCAGCACTCATGGGAGGGTGGGGTACAGGTTCTAAGTAGGGTGGTCAGAGCAACTCTGAAGAGATCCCTCCTTCTCTCTGCTTTGGCTCTACCTGCCCTTTTTTTTTTTTTTTTTTTTTGAGTTAGAGTCTCACTCGATCGCCCAGATAGGAGTGTAGTGGCCGCTCCCGGCTACCACAGCCTCGACCTGCTGGGCTCTGGCGATTCTTCCGCCTCAGCCTTCCAAGTCACTGGAACTACAGGCGTGCGCTACCATGCCCGGCTTTTTTGATTTTTATTGTGGAGATGAGGTCTCACCAAGTTGCCCAGGCGGGTCTCGAACCCGCGGACTCAGGCAATCCACTCACCTCAGCCTCCCAAAGGCGCGGGATTACAGGCTGAACCACCGAGCCCGGCTCTACCTGCCCTTTCTCTCCCTCAACTTCATATAGCAAGCTTGTTCCCTCTTTAGGGCCTTGACAATTCTTGTCATTCAGACTTCAGCTTAAAAATCTTCCCCCCGATGATCCAACCTAAAGTGGCTACCCAGTCACTTGCATTTCATTATCTCTCAAATTCCCTTCATGTCACTTACTCATATCATCTACTCATTCAACAAATGTGAATACACCTCACATGCCACACACCTCTAGGGATATGGCAGTGATTAGGACTCAGCATTCCTGCCCTCATGTCCCCTGTATTCTGAGGAGGGGGGTAAATCAGCCCACAGTGTTAGGCAAGGAGATAAGGAAGAGCTGCTGTCTCCTGCAAGGTTAACCGTCATCAAGCAGATGCCTGAAGGAATACAGGGGTCAGCTATGGGGGAGGGGGTGTCAAGGAGAGACCAATGGAGGTTCAATCCTGGTGCCCTGGAACATAACTGCAATAGAAGAAAATGGAAACAAGAAGGAAAATAAGTTGTCTTTTTCCCAGGGGGAAGTGATGAGATTGTTTAAAGCCATCTTGGGTATGTCAGTGGTACAGCCAAGTAGGAATGTCCAGCAGGCAGGTGAGAAGGGTCTGGAAGGGGGGTGTTAGGTCCAGTCGGGAATTGGGAGTCAGTCACAGAAGAGCAAAGATATGCTTATGAGACGAGGTTGTCAAAGGACTGGAGGAAGAAGAGTGCTGATGACTAAGATTTATGGGATTCAACAAAATATTTCACAAATGCAACAAAACATCCCTTTCTGGTTTTGTCCTTGGCCTCCTCCCATTATGATGCATGTGACCTTGGTTGCCTTATTGACAGCCACAATCCCAAGTGCCTAGAAGAGCACCAGAAAAATAGCAGGTGCTTGGGAAATACAGAATAAATAAATCCATTAAGCATTTGCCTTTCTATTTGGGTATTCTTAGCTAAGAAAATAACCAACGTGTATAGCTCCTTTTAAGGAACACAATCACTCAGGATCTCTGAGAATTACTGCCTCTAGTACATTCCTTTCACGGTGTCTGTACATCTTTTTATTGCTACATTCAGTACCTGTAATTTATTTATAATAATTTCACTAATTTATAGATCATTAAAATGAAAACAAAGTAAACCAAGACAAAAATGATATCCTTGCACTGAACACTACAACAAGCATTAGCCTAACTTGAGGTGACTTTTGGTTTTAGGCTTTGGATGCTGCAGAGCCAACTGCTCATGACAGGACAGGTGAATAAACCAGGTGTGTTCAGAGCAGACGACAGAGGCAGCATGACTGCCCTGCTCCAGCTGCATGGTTTGTGCAATTCCTTGTAAATGGCTCATTTCCTCTGGGAGGCTGAACGGTATTTTGTCATGTTTTCCTCTCACACTGAAAATAAAAGAACAGCTCCTATTAAAACTAGAACTGTTGAGTTGTGCAGATATGAAAACAGAGAAAAGTGTTTCTTTTCTTATTTGGTAAATATTTTCCTTTTGAGGCATCAATAACTAATCATAGCTGCTTCCGTTAGTTACAAATGGATTCAATCAGGTAAAACTCAAATGAAACACAAAACCACTAGTCAGTCCATTATACACTACAATGATAGCGTTAAGCCTTGTGAAATATATGTATTAAGTATGCATGTATTCATCAAATCAGACAAAGAAGCTAATGGGTCTCTGATTAGTGTTCTAACTCTATTATGGTGATACTTCCATCTCACCCTGACTCATCTAAAATATGTGAACAAAATGCTATTAAGTTTGATAAACAATCTGTTATATGCTATCATTCTGGCTAAATAACAAAAACTGATTTGGGCTAGAATTTCTCTCTTGAAAATCAAGGGCAAAAAAGCTGCTGTTGAGGTACCCTTCAATTTTAAATAACAATTTGTAATTCTTTATGACAAGATTAAAGCAAAAACTAAACAAATATCCTAATCTAGGATAAATATACAGTCTTGTTTCTAAAGGGATTGTCACATGGATATTGGTGACCAATGGCAAGTTCAACTCATAATCAGGTATTCAGAAAAACAATAAAATAGCATAGCAAACACATTTTTATTCAATATTTTAAAAATGTACTTTGTGGCAACTTATAAATACATTTCTATTATAATAAATTGATATTTTGAACCAAGAAGATAATATAACCAAAAATCCATTTGCACTCTTTGTTTAGGGGTAATTCACATTTATGCTTAATTTTGCTTTTTAAAAAGATGACTGTTACAATCAGGTATAGAACCATTTAGTTATGTCTACATTCTGTCTGTTAGAAATATATTCTTTTAGAGAATCCAACTCAATCATCTTATTCTTTTCTTCACTGCTTTTTTCCAAGCAGTGGTAGCGTAGTCTTCAATGGACAGAATGCAGATAACTGCTCTAACCACAGCCAGGTCATGCTACATCTGCAATACAGGAAGTCCCCATAGGTGTCCAGCTCTAAAACATGTCAAGTTGGCCCAATTTAGAAAGTGACAATGAGTAATGAATGATAGTACTGATCATTATAAAAAATTAACAATTTTAGGTATCTTTGTTCTGGGTTTCTGCGGTTTAGGTGTATCTATTTCTTCATAGTCTGCACTCATTCCCTTTGCCCAGCGACCGACTGTGACTGTTCGATCTGTAAAGGAAAAGGAAAGTCAAAATATAAGAAACACAGTATCAAATGCACCCACTTAGATGGGTCTTGGTTTAGGTTAAGAAACTGGTTTTGACAGGCATAATCACAGGGAGGGAAGACACCCCCACTGAGGGAAGTGGGCAACTTTGTCATTAATTACAACCCTTGATTTCAGAGCTCTGTGGGCAATTTCTCATCCCAATTAGGGAGATGAGGCAACTACTTTACATTCCTTCCCAGAGTTCATCATTACAGAGTCAATGAATTCTAAGAGTCTGTAAACAGCAAGCCTTATGAAGCATCAGATTTAAATGCACAAGATTCCACCTGTGAAATTATACAACATCTGCCTGTCAGTCTCATCAGTTGCAAAGTGGGAGTCCTCCCAGGAGGGAGAATTCAAATCCACTTCATCATTTCAGTCTCACTGTCAGTGATACAGTAAAGACTATCATCTCCTGGATGAGACTGTAAACAAAACTGTTGGTTTCTAACTTTCATGTCAGGAACAGGAAGTAAAAATGAGCAGACTTATTCATGTAGTGCTGTGACTGTATAAGTAAGAAGAAAGTTGCTTTTCCCTGAGAAGCACTCCTGGGCTCTGCCTCCTTCCACACAGGGCATCAGCATTCGAATACACTTCCTCAAGAGCCTGTCACAGGCAGGGAACACTTAGGAAGTTGTTGATGAACAAGACTAGTGTTTCATCAGGAAGAAAATAACCAAATTCTGGGGATACACATTTTAAGTATTTTGGGCCGTTTCTGCAATGAATTCTCAGTCTTTTGGTATACATGAAGCAAAGCACAGATGAGGACATGTAGTCCTAAGAATACTGAAAGTTATTTTCATTTTAAAATTTTCTTTTGGTGAATCAATACTTTTCTATAAGTAACAGAATTGGCTCTATTATATTAAACTCATTGGTGGGCAACTATAAATGCTTATGAATAAGATGCCTTATAAAAACCAGGGTCTCCTAAGGCTTACTAGTCACTTTTTTTTCCTTAATGCCCAGTGAGCTAATGCCCAGTTACTCAACACTACGTCTAACGCTGACAGAGAAGTGATGAAGTCACTGCTGCAGCAGGAAAACTGGCTGCCTTAAAGTCAGCAGTGCCTCCATGAGTTACTAATCATAGCATGCAGCAAAACAGAGGAATGCCAAGCTAACCCCTTCCCAGTGGAGGCCTAGAGATCTCACCTGAACTCTGACTTTCAGGGCAATCTTTCTTAAAGTGTTCCACAGAGCCACAGAGTCTGCAACCACCACCTGTTAAAAGAACACAGTCGCTGAATACACCTCATGCTCACTTGGGTTGAATGCCTCTGAGCACGCTCCCATCTTACTTGGCCCTCAGATCCTTGTCAGTTGTAAAGAATGCTGGACCCAGGAATACAGGGAAGGGCCACCCTTCCCGCCCACGAGTCACTCTCTTTTCCTTCCAACCTCACAGAGCACTATATTGTCCCTACCCGCTGCTTCCTGCACCTGCCTTCAGGGTGAGTGTGGCCATGAGAAGAGAGATATCCTGGAAGGCGCCTGTCCAGGAACCATTTCACAGAAGCCAGCTCCTAGCCAGGGTTAGACAGTCAAGGGTATGTGGACCTGCAGGGCTGGATATTAAAGTGGTATGCAGATGCACTTTTCTGAAAAATATATCAGATTTCCAAACAGTCAGTGACCCAATAAAGGTTAGGAACATGCTCTACTTTACAGGTCAGGTGAGTAAGCACTCATTAAAGAAATGAAAATAACTTCTGCTTCATTATCTTCTACCTATCAGGCCCCTCACCCCAGTATGCCATCTGCCTACTTGAAGTAATATCCCAGGATGGTGGGTCACAGCACTAATGGCTTCTGAAAAGATCACTTCATGATCAAGTACGGTCATGATCATGTTCATAATATTCAGTGACTCAGTCAGAAGTGGCCTAACAGGATGCAAACCTGGCTGAATCCCCACATCTGTGTCATCTACTTTCCTCGCTGCAAGTTCTTCTTATATCTCATCACTTTGCTCAGACATTCAAAGCCATCTTTGCTCATTAGTCATATTAGCTGACAGTTTTAAAGGCTCAAAACTGAAATGCACCTGTGAGCATCTTCCAGGCCAGGCCTCTTTACCATTTTCTATGCCAGAGTGAAACAGAAGAGGCACCTGAATAGCATATTTTAATCCTCCAAACAACTCTTCCAGCTAAATATCATAATTCATTAAACTAAGACACCAGTGAATGTAAGATATATCATTATTTCACATAACTCTCAGAAAGAAAAAAAGCTGTCAAACTACATGGGACCCACCAATAGTAAGACACATTCTGATTTAAGAGATATTAAAATGTAAAAAAAAAGTGCATCTTACAGTCAATAAAACAGTTTTATTATCTCCATTTTATAGGTGAGAAAACTGAGACAAGAGTTTAGTAACTTGGCCAAAGCCCCACAGCTAGTGATGGGTGGTTCTAGGACTACAGCCCAAGTCTGCCCAACTCCAAAAGCTATACTTTTCCACTGTCCAGAGGTTACTCAGGACATGACACAGAGGTGTGTAGATGCCAATGGCACCAACCATCATATTAACAGATAACAACTTCCTCCTTAAAGCTGTAGAGAGAACAGACTTTACTGTGGGAACCTTAAGATATATTAGCTGAGCTAAAGATAAAAAAGCTACATGATCCCATGACAGAAAATTTACTAGGAAAAACACCGAGAAACAAACACTACTACAATATTGATTAGTGTGTAGCAGCCCTTCACCAAAATGATATGCTGGGCTACAAGTAAGTATACAATACTATTCCAAAAATTTCCTATCAGCCTGAAGCACAAGCCCTCTGCTTTTGTCATGTCTAAAAGTAGAGATGTATACCATACTATCATAAACAATGTTGAGGCAAGCACAGTGTGAAATACATACCTTAGTTTTTTCTGATTTGTTTAAATAATGTGTCAAGTCATATTGCACAAAAAGTTCAATACACAGAATAGCACTTGATAAAAATAATGCAATTCTTAAGCTTTTGCTACTTATTGAAGAACTGACTCAGGAACTGAATTAGAGTATACACTAAATCACTACTGCGTGATGACTCACCATTTTTTATTTGCAAGTGTCACAGTACTCACCATCAGCATAGAGTCCTTTGGGATTTTCAGGACAAGATCTTGACAGGTGCCCCATTTCCCCACAAACAAAACATTTTGCAAAAGGAAATTCACCTGTAAGAATCAACAGCTCCTATTAAGTTGATCATGTACTTGACAAGTCAAATAATTTACAATATTTTAAAATACTGTGAATAGAACATATTTTTAATTTAACAAAGTTTAATCTCATATGATTTTCAAATACTAAGTGGCACACTCATAACAAATTCTGTCAACAAAAAAAATACCCAGTTGGCTCTTTATTGGTCACTTTCACCACCAACCAGACAAGAAACCGAAGAGAAACATACCAAAAGCTGGGTCTACTTTGGCCTTACACTTGGTTATCTCGTGCTCTGTGGATCCACACCGATAACAAATCCCAGTGCCCATATCTTGATTTTCAAGGGCAGCTGGGCAATCTGCAACTCCGTGACCAGGTTTTCTACAATGGAAACACACCTGGAAAAACAATATGTGAGCTATCACACTGCAAAACTATACCTGCAACTTTATTAATTCGTTATCAAAAATACCTTTAAAATGTTTCTCATCTTATTTAGCTCTTTTTAAAAAAATCTTAAGATACTATTTCCATCAGAGGATCTCAATGCTTTCGAAAACCTCCAATTCATGAATCTATCAGTCTCAGAAACAATGTTACACGTGGCTTTGTAGAAGGCAATGCTTAAGTGACCTGAATAAACATGGATTATTCATTTCACTGATAAGGATACTTGCAGTAGAAAAAAGGAGTTTTCTCTAAAAGACAAACAATGGCTATAACAGTTATCATTTACACAATCGAATGAATTAGGTCGAAAGCTTCCTCTTAAATTGATTCAAATCATGATATATTTCATAGCAAAAACACCTACCTTATTGTTTTCATACTCTCAATACACAGTCTTTAATATTTAAAAAGAAGTTTCATTTTTAGAACATATACACAATACATTTTAAAGAAATAATTTGTTCTGAGATGAATTATTTGCCTCCAACATAAAACTGAACAATGTTTAGTTATTTACATACTAGCCGGGCTCGGTGGCTCAGCCTGTAATCCCACGCTTTAGGAGGCTGAGGTGAGTGGATTGCCTGAGCCCACGGCTTTGAGACCTGCCCGGTCAACTTGGCAAGACCTCATCTCTACAATAAATCAAAAAATCAGCTGGGCGTGGTAGCGCATGCCTGTAATTCTGGCTACTCAAAGGGCTGAGGCAGAAGGATCGCCAGAGCCCAGCAGGTCGAGGCTGTCGTAGCCGGGAGTGGCCACGGCACTCCAGTCTGGGCGACAGAGTGAGACTCCAACTCAAAAAAAAATAAAAATAAAAATAAAAGAAGTTATTTACATATTATCTAGGAATTTGCAGGATTTTTTTTCTGCAATAAGAACTTTAATTATAATCAAAGATGGTAGATACTTAAACTATTTTATTTAAGTTGAAAAAAGTTATACATATTTCTTGGATTAAGTTTATTTATAATAACTATTTATATTAGTACATATAAATATACATTATTTATATAATTATAAATGACAATTATAATAATCTTTTTTTAAAAAAATAAGCACAGGTGCTTTAAAAAACAAATTTAAAAGGTAAAACACAACATATATTTTAAAGGGGGGGCCCAAAAAACCTGGGATTATTTTTTGGAGGGCAGGCCCCTTGTAGTATAGGCTTCCCCTGCTAGGTAAGCATTCTAGGAACCCATTGGTATCAGTGTACCAGCTAGCAATATTGTGAGAGGTTGATTTGGCTTCAGTGAATTTCTTTTTGGAGTCTTCCAAATTTCACAACAGGTGATTTTTGAGCACTCCTGCCCACACTGTGCTGAGTGTTTAGCAATTTTTGACCAAAACCAGCATGACCCCCATGCCACCCACCCTATTCACTTGATCTCACCACAAGCGACTTCTCTTTTTTGTTTCTCTGGAGTCTAAAAGTCCTCAAAGGGAAAAATTTTGCCGATGTGGGGGAGGTGAAACAAAAAGTGAAAGAAGCACTAAAAGTCATCAAAATTGACGAGTTCAAAAATTGTGTTGGGCAGTGCAAAAAAGCATCTTGATAGGTGTATTACATCAAATGGAAAGTATTTTGAAGGTAACTAAAGTTTAAACATGCAATAAATACATAATTTTTATAAATAAATTCCATTTGTAGGTCCACCTTTGTACAACTCTGTCCTTACTTTTTTCCCCCTATTTAATAAACATATTGAAAAATAATAAGTCCCCTTAAATTCTCCAGTAATTTTTACATTTAGAATGAACTGGTCCAAAGAAACTGCACTTTCTCTACAAATGCAGGAAAAGCAACTGCTAAAACCTGAATCACCACCAGAGGAAGTCTTGGCTTCCTGATGAAAGTATTTTAAATTTACTATAGATGCGACTATGGAAAAGTGACTGGTAAATTTCTATATGTAGCCCTCTGCCCTCAGATGTTCCCTCTGAGGGGACATCATAAATCTAGCAAACTACTTGGATGTTCCCTCTTAGGAAACATAAAGAGATTGCTGGTGATTATACTGGACAAACTTATGCCAACACAAATTTTTCAAAAATGTTTCCTCGAAGTTTTCCATTCAAATTGCATGAGAAAGCAAAGAGGTGGAACATACACTGAGATATACATAAAAAAATATATTAGCGGGCCTTATATAGAAGAGAATGTGTGAAGTGCTCTCACAGTGGTGCTGACACTTCTTTGCAATAAAGAGCATTTGTATAAGAAAGGCAGCTGTGGGTATAACTTTTGTATCCAATGCTCTATTATTTAATATGAGGTGATTCATTTTTCACTATTTCGTAAAAAAGTGCTGTTAAGGTTTTCACCACACCCTCTCCAGCAGCTGTTATTTTTTGAGTTGTTGATAATTGCCATTCTGACTGGAGTTAGGTGGTATCTCAGTGTGGTTTTGATTTGCATCTCCCTGATGATTAGTGAGGTTGAGCATTTCTTCATGTGTTTGTTGGCTTCTCGAATGTCTTCTTTTGTGAAGTGTCTGTTCATATCTTTTGCCCATTTTATAATGGAGTTGTTTGTTTTCTTCTTTTCAGTACGTTTCAGTTCCTTGTAGATCCAGGATGTTAAGCCTTTGTCAGACCTAGAGTTGGCAAAGACTTTTTCCCAGTCTGTAGGCTGTCTCCCTGCTCTCTTGATGGTTTCTTTGGCTTTGCAGAAGCTTGTCAGTTTATTTATTTATTTATTTGAGTCAGAGTCTCACTCGGTTGCCCAGACTGGAGTGCAGTAGCCGCTCCCGGCCACTGCAGCCTCACCTGCAGTGGACTCCAGCAATCCTTTTGCCTCAGCCTTCTGAGTAGCAGGAATTACAGGCATGCGCTACCATGCCCAGCTGATTTTTTTATTTATTGTAGAGATGAGGTCTTGCTGCCCAGG